TTAAAAAAAATTTTTTTTCCCATTAAATTGTATTAAACTTTAATTTACTTATCTTCCTAATTGTTTATATTTCACTTTTTAAAAATGTTGATGTATTTGTAATCACTTTGTATTTCTGCTGTAGCAAATTACCATAAACTTAATGATTCAAAGCAAAATAAATTGAGTATCTTATAGTTCTGGAGGCCAGAAATCCTGAACAGCCTTCACTGGCCTAGATAATGAGGTAATGGCAGGGCTGCCTGCCTTTTGGCAGCTGAAGAGAATCCATTCCCTTATTTTTCCAGTTGCTGGAGACTGCCTGTATTCTTTGGTTTATGTCTTCTTCATCGTCAAAGCCAGCAATAGTGGGTCAAGACTTTCTGATCTTTCATCATTCTGCCCCTGACTTTCCTGCTTCCATCTTTCTTATAAAGACTCTTGTGATTACCTTGGACCCACCCTGATAATCTAGGATAATCACCTCATCTCAAAATTCTTAATTTACCTACAAAGTTCCTTTTGCCAAGTCAAGAAACATACCCACAGGTTTTGAGTATCAGCAAGTGGACATCTTTAGGGGCTGTTAGCTGCCTACCAGCCTATTTGTATCTAAATGAAACTGTGCGGAGTATTCCTATTGACAGCATTTGTTTATGGTTCATTTTTAGTTTTAGAAGGTAGAAATAGGATTAGTTGGATGATTGAAAATTAAACATAGATTTTCTCCAATTAGAGAAAGAGTTGTTCAATTACAGAACTCCTTTAAAAGGGGGTGATTTTTCACATATGTGTGTGTGTAGTTATTAAGCTCCTTTCTAGTGTGGAGATACTGGTTGACTAGTCAGTGATGTCAAGGAGATTCCTGAATTGTGTGGGAGACTAGATTAAATGGCTTAAGATTTTTCCTCCTAACTGTTAAGTTTTCTGGTTCTGTACTAAAGGTCACAAGAATGTAATAGGGTTCATCATAGATATATATATATATATATGTATATATATATATACACACACACACACACACACACACACATAGTTTCTTTATATAGATAGAGAAGAGATGGGGACTGATAGATGGATTGAATTTTAGGAATTGGCTCATGTGTTTATGGGGGCTGGCAAGTCTAAAATCAGTAGAGTAGGCCAGCAAGCTGGAAACTCAAGGAGGAGTTACTGTGACAGTCTTAAGTTCAAACTCTGTGTTGAGGCCAAATTGCTTCTTCTTGGGAAAGTCTTTACTCTTAAGGCCTTCAGCTGATTAGATGAGGCCTACCTACATTTTAGTGGATAATCTGCTCTACTCAGTCTACTGATTTAAGTGTTTAATCACATGTTAAAAAAATACTTAGTTTTGTAACGCCATCTAGACTGGTGTTTGAATAGACAGCTGGTACATAGCACAAAATTAACCATCACACTGAGGTAGTTAGAAATTGACACTCAGACCTTCCAACTTCTTGACCACTGTGCCTCTTGCTTTCTTTCTACTTGTATTGGATTTAGTTTCCACTGTTTCACTGCCTCTGTGTTCTTGATAAGAAGTAGCAGATAAAAATATAACTTTCCAAAATCCCTTTTGATGTTCATTTTCAGGTTTGCTTATAGTTTTGAATTTACCTTGGAGCTTCTTCTATTGTGCTTACTAAATATATTTAGTATTTTTTTCAGCCCCTAAACAGATTAATGAACCAGCTGCCTTTATGTAACTTCTTCAAAAATTATTTTAAAGTATATTTGGTGTTTCTTCTTTCTCTGAAATTATTATTGATGGTATAAATAAGAACCTTAAAATAGGTCTCAGAAAGAATAGGCATGAAAGAAATATTTGAATTCATTTTTACCCTCTTAGAGCCTATCTCCTATTATTTTCTTGGCCTGCAGGATTCAAAGTCTACTATAGTGGGAATGGGCATCTAAAAAATTGCTTTTGATCATATATTTCTATACTAGTTTAATTGAAAATATTCATTTAAATTTGAAATGTTAATGATTATTCATATTAATCAGTTTCCTATTGTGAAGTCTTTCTTAAAGTTAATGTTAAGACAAGTTTCTTCTTTTCCTTTAAACTGGTTTAAGTTTTAGGAGATAAACAAGAAACCATTTTTAAAGAAATTTTGTTTATCTATTTTTGGCTGTACTGGGTCTTCGTTGCTGTGTGCGAACTTTCTTTAATTGCAGGCGGGGGATACTGTCTAGTTGTGGTATGCAGGCTTCTCATTGCAGTGGCTTCTCTTGTTGTGGACCACAGGCTGTAGAGTGCACAGGCTTCAGTAGTTGCAGCGCATGGGTTCAGTATTGTGGCACATGGGCTTAGTTGCCCCATGGCATGTGGAATCTTCCTGAATCAGGGATTGAACCCGTGTCCCCTGTTTTGGCAGACAGATTCTTTACCACTGGACCACTGGGGAAGTCCAAAAACTCATTTTTTAAAAATGTTAATTAAGCTAACAATTATAAACTAATATTTACAAATAAGTGAAATAGTATAGCTTATTAATTGACCAAGAACCTGGAGACCTGAATTCTAATCCTACTCCTCTTATGTATTAGTGCAACTCTCATTTCCTGGTCTATTATCTGTTTCTGGACTAGAGAGTCTGAGGCTGGCTGAGTCTCCTCTGGCTGTTATATCTGTAATTGTGACTCCATGAAGGAAACACATGGGGAGAATTGATAAGTAACTATTTCTTAGAGTAAATGAAAGTAAACATTGGTGGCTAGAGATGCAGAAGGAAGAAATTTTAGAAAGGAAAACATGAAAAAAAGATGCTTGTGTTTTATTCTAGTTAAGGTCATTTTATATTCATTTGTTCACTTTTTGCACATATCTCATTTAACAAAACTGCTATTATTATTATTTCCATTTTGTAGGCATAGATTCTGAAGTCTGATGAGGTCATTCTCTTTCCCCAAGTGGTACAAGTTTTGGCCTAAAGCCCATAGAATTACTGATCATTAGATTTTGAAATTCTTTTGATCCAACCGTTATCTTCTTTTCCTGTGTTCTTTCTATTATACCACCTTCAGTTTTTGGACAGTTTACATTGCTAGACAAACATCAAGTAATTCTTTGATATTTGACTTTTTATTACTTCTTGGTTTTCATAAAGTTATGGAATTAGAAATATATATTAATTGCACATCAGATTCTGTGACTTTTTAAAAGTACAGATAATAGTATCTTTAGCTTAATTGAGAAGTTTTTCTTTTGCCTAGTGAAACTGGACTATAAGTATGTTTAAACTGATTAGGTCTTTAAAATGTGGAGTACTCCATGTTAATACAGAAAAATTCTAAAATTGATTATTTTCATCATGGAAATAAATTTCAGAAAGTATACATCTGCTTCAAAGTAAGCCCGCCTGTCAAATTTAGAAGCCTGTTCTCAAAATTGTTAAGCAGTGAAGAATGAGTATAAAGGGAAAGAGGTCTTTTCACCTCTCTGTATTTGACATTTTAAAATTTCAGTTAACACATTTTATAATGAATTTTTCAAAATAAATATTTCCTTCAAGATAGAAATTATCTTTTTTCCTATCAACTCTAACCTCATACTGGTCACTCAGACATGATTAATTGAGGGATGGGAATGGTAAGCAGCTTTCTACCTTAAGATAGAAAGTATGAATTTAGAGTTTTCTCACCTTTCTCACCTGGTGGGGAAGCTTGTACAATAGTCTGCAGCTCTGAAACAGGCCAGTTGTTCTGGGTCCATAGGAGCCTGTAGGAAAAGAAAAATAGACTATATCATTGTGAGATAGGCCAGGGTTTAAATCCTTGATCCTCTACCACTAGCTTAGTGAATTACTTAATCTCTCTAAGTCTATTTTCTATCTGTAAAATGGGGCTAATAATGCCTGCCTTACTAACTTTCATGTGGGGACAAGAGGAATTGAGATGTGGGAATATTGCATTGCAGCTCAGTGCCTGACACAAGTATATATTTAACAAATTAGAATAATAGCTGTAGCTTGTTTTACTTTTTATTGGGGTGTATTGGATTTACAGTGCTGTTTCAGGTGTGCAGCGGAGTGAATCAGATGTACACACACATGTATCCACTCTTGTTCCAGAGGCTTTTCCCACCTAGGTCATCACAGAGCACTGAGTAGAGCTCTCTGTGCTGTAGAGAGCTTCCCCTTGGTCTGTTTTACATGTGACAGTGTGAATGTGTCAGTCACAGTCTCCCCATTATCCCCCTCCTTTATCCCCTGGTAACCAAAGTTTGTCTTCTGCATCTGTGACTCCACTTCTGTTTTGTAACTAAGTTCATTTGTACTTTTTTTTTATTCCACATATAGTCAATTATCATAGGACATTTGTTTTTCTGTGTCTGACTTCACAAAGTAAACAATTTCTAGACCTATCCATGTTGCCAAAAATGGCATTATTTTGTCAGTTTTTTAATAGTTCTACTTCTTATCTTATAATGTCTTGTAGTATAAATTTAAAGTATAAATTTACTGAGAATATGACTTTTGAAATTATTTAATAAATACTAGGTCACTGATGAACAGTCATACATGAAAAGATCTTTTACATATGTTAAATAGTATTTTACAGATGTTCTCATCTGGTTGCTTGGGTACATTTTAAAAGTGATTCTGTGCAAGAATACTATACTGCTAGTATACACAGTATATTTGAAGAATAATAGCGTGTGTTTATTTCAAAATTACTCTTGTGGTTTATCTTCTAAGTTTTAATATATCAATCAAAAATTAATTAGGAAATAATAAAGAGTGTTTAGTGTTTGGAAATAGTAATCAATAAACTTGTTTTTAAGGATACATCACACTTTTTGGAGGGAGATACTTTTCAAATAATATTTTTAGTCTATAGGAGAGTAAGATTGCTATTTTACAAAGCTCTTGTTTCTACTTAGATTTTCAGGAACATGTATCTTTTACTAATAACCACAGTATACCAGTACTAGATTCTATGTAAATGTGTTAACTTGTCCTTTTGGAAGACTGTTTTTTCCTCCACTCATGGTTATATTGTACATTTCTTTCTAGAGCATGAAGGGGAAAAGCAAAAGTAGTCATGACTTGCTTAAGGATGATCCACATCTCAGCTCTGTTCCAGCTGTTGAAAGGTTAGTATAGTGCTAAGCTCTTATTTTTTGGCTCAGATAATTTTCTGGCTCCCTTTGTGAGTAAGCAGTCAGTTCTCATAAGTCAAATTTTGTCAGCCCAACCAAAAAACTAAAGCATTTTGGTAATGGGGCTAATAGAGCTACTAGCATAATGGAGAGAGAATCACTCTAATCACATTCACTCTCTTGCTATCTATTTATCTTTGTTGAGCTAATTAAATTCAAAGTTATCTGTTAAACTTTTAAATCTTGGGATAGTTTGAACACTAGAGAGCTGTCCGCTTTAATGATTTAATGTTTAATTCAAAGTTTTTTTACTAACCTTCTTGACCATTTTTGTCTCAGAATCTTGAGTAAGCAAATCAGATTTGAAGGGTTTTGTGAGGAAATCACCACATTTTGGACCAGTTCACTGAGTATTACATACTCACTGAGTATTCCTTACATTTTTCAGACGTTACCAGAAAACTGTCTTACTGTTTTTGCTGCTTCTCTTTGGTATGGGAAAATGTCTGACTGTTAAATGTTAATTGTATGTGATTTACTGGACCAATGTCTGCAAGGGGAGCTAAAATACTGTGATACTGAGTTTAGCTCATTTTCAGAAATTCTATATTGAAACAATCTCTTCTTAACGTACTTGTATTTGAAGGACTTGTCTTCTTCATCCTGAAGACATCAAACCAATAGAAGTAATTTCTGCAGCCTTTTGTTCATAAAAATAGCACTATTGGTTATTTGCTTTTTTTAAAAAAAATTCTAGTGAATTTGTATTTGTGCTAATGGAGCATACCGTCTATTCTATTTATAAAAACAACTTCCTTTTAGAATGTTTCTCTTTGCTCTATGTTGCCATTCTGAAATTCCTGGGTTGAAGTATTTTTGAGCTATTAATCACAGCAAAATATTCTAAATTTTTGGATAATTGAATCATTTTGCTAGTTTCCTTTTGAAGCTAAAATTTGTTTTTCTAATTTTTTGTAGTGAAAAAGGGGATGCAGCAGAGGATTCAGATGATGTGAGTATTAATTTTAGTATAAATATAGTTGAACAGTTTATAGAAAATTCAAAATCTTTAGAAATGATTATTTTTCCTAAAAGGTATTATATATTATCTTTTATACATATATAAAATTTTGAAAAAATTTTGAAAGATTTGAAAAATAAATTATGTATTTCAATATTGGAATTTTCCTTCATAGTATATTCATATATTTGTTTTCCTACAAAATCAAAATCTTATATATGAATTTCTAGCCTGTTTTTTCTCCATCTCACATAACATTACATGAATACTCAAAATTTAGATGTCATTGATTTTGTTTTATTATGATAAGTTTAAATGTTGATGCGTGACATCCTACATGATATATGGGAAATGCTTGGATCAGTCATTTATGGTAGTTTCCTTCTTCATACACACATTTCAGAACATTCTTTCTTAAAACTGTCTTGACGTTTCTGCATTACTTGTACTGGGTATTAGAGCTGATAAGGCAGGATTTCCTTTATGTGTGAGAGATCAAGTGTTTCAAATCATTCATTGCCACTTGATATAAAAACTCATTGATCTGTGCATTGTACAGAAGGAAACACATAACTGTCCATGCAAGCACACAGCTTCATCTATTATCATACTCAAAAGACAGCATTTTCTCTATGTATAATAGAGAAAGAATGACTATCTAACCTGGTCAAGAGAACCTTTTGGAAAGAGATGATGCTGTGATGTGTCTTATAGGAGAATTAGGAGTTAACTAGATCAAAAAAGAAGCTGGTAAGGGGTGGGATGCCTCTAGCTTAGAGAACAGCATATGCTAACACTTGGTAGCAAGGAGAGAGCATATCTTCTTTAGGAAGTACCCACTAAGGTTAAAGTCTGAGGAGCCTCACTGTGAGGAGCAGGAAGGAAGAGGGTGAGAGGGAGCTACATCTGCAAAAGCCTCTGAAGCAGGAGACAGTTTGTTGTGTTTCAGGAGCTGAAAGCAGACCAAAGTGACCAGAGCTTAGTGACAGGGGGGAGAGTGGTGAGGTTGGAGAGGTGGGGAGAAGTCAAGGAGTAGAGAGCTTCATAGACTATGGTGAGGAGTTTAAATTTCATTCTAAAAGTGATGAGGAACAGTTGAAGGGCATTAGTTAAAAAGATGAGTGCTGTGGTCAGCTTTGCATTTTGGGAAGATCCCTGTTGGCAATGTTAAAGAGGACAAATTAGAAGAAATAGGCAGGAGTCAAGGAGAACTGTCAGGGAGCTATCTTGAGGGGAGAAAGAAAGAAAGTGAAGTCAGTCAGTCGTATCCGACTCTTTGCATCCCCATGGACTGTAGCCTACCATGCTTCTCCATCCATGGGATTTTCCAGGCAAGAGTACTGGAGTGAGTTGCCATTTCCTTCTCCAGAGCATCTTCCCGACCCAGGGATTAGGAACCCGGGTCTCCGGCATTGTAGGCAGACGCTTTACCGTCTGAGCCACCAGGGAAGTCCTGTTGAGAGGAGAGCTGATAGAAAGTCACATCTCATCACAGTGAGATGGGAGAGAGACAGACTTGAAAGAGGTCTAAGAGGTGACTTATTCTCAGGGAGACAACCATAAGATTTCTGATTTGGGCAGCTTATTAGATAGGTACAAAAGACAGATAGGGAGAATGATGAAAAATAATGTGCTTAATAATGTACATTTTGTGATTCAGATGACTTGGAGACATCCGTATAATGTTAATACGGATCTGGAAGGTGGGACCAAGGCCTGATGTAAAATTATCCATACGTTCTTATGGTCTTGGTGGGGGTGAGGTCACCTAAGGATAGTGTATGATCCTTAACCTGTTTAGTGTTCCAGGATCCTTTGCAGTCACTAAAACGGTGGACCTCTGTCCCAGGAGACTCTGCATCCACAAACGAAATATTACTAATTTGCATAGCATTTTTTTCTATCTCCTGAGGACCGTGCATGGAAGACCTAGGTCAATGGTTATGAAATTTTAAAGCTAAAGAGTCTTAAACATCTCACTGAAAACACTCACAATTTCTATCTGCAGAGATTAGAAACAACCCACATTTTATAGCCTGAGGACCACTGCCCTAGAGTCCACAGGCCTCAAGTTAAGAATCCTGCCTCACCATGACTCACCTGGTCAGAGAACCATAAGAGAAAAAGATCAACTTGGGTGGTTTCTTCCTTCTTCTCTACCCTCTTCCTTCCTTTTCTCTTCCTTTTTCTCCATTCCTCTCTCTATTAATCCAGGGAGCTATTCTGAAAGTTTTCCGTTTAGCAATAAGCACCGCAGTCCAGAATTTTAGCTCTTACGGAGTCCTTCCTCTGATTATTGAAGACAACAATCATATAAATAATTAAAATATATAGTATGTCAAATGAGTTATAAATGTTTTGAGGAAAAACAAAATGGGGAAGGGGAATAGAGACCACAGTGGGTGAGTGTATGGTTCTGCCATTTTACTAGGGTGATCAAGAGAAGGAGCACTGAGAGCGTAACATTTGACCAGAGACCTGAAGCAGATGAAAGAGTGAGCAACGCAGATTCATAAAATAAGAGTTTCAGGTTGGAAGGAAGAGCAGCTCCAGAGTTGGCTGTGTTGCTGGCCCGGAATTGTAGGAGATTATGCCAAGGAGGCGCAGATTGTATAGTGTCTTGGTAGAGTTGGGGACTCATTGCAGGGTTTTGAGGGAGGAGTGATTGCTGTGTCTTAATTTGTAGGAGGAATTACCAGCTTCTTTACCTCCATTAATACATGGAGGTATTGCATTAATACATGGGTCAGTATGCTAGCCAGGTGCCTCCAGAAGCCACCTTGCCTACTGGGGAAGAACAAGAATGTACAACAGATCGACACAGAAGTCTGGGTGATCAGCGGGAGCACAGTCTGCTGCACAGAGGGACTGGTTATGGATTGAGCAACAACCCTTGCTGGGCTATGGCATGCTCAGAGCAGACCCCAGTGGGTATTCCCACCTGTAGCAGATTCTTTGAGTCCTTACTAGTTCAAAATGAAACAAACAAAAAAAACCTGGCGTAAAATGCAGTGAGAAGAGTCTGAGATAAACCTCTGGAAGCGAAAGGAGATAATGGAATGCCCAGTAAATACTACATTTCAATTTTTACAGGATGGAGAATATGAAGGTGCAGAGCATGATGAATATGTTGATGGTGATGAGAAGAACCAGATGAGAGAAAGAATTGCAAAAAAGTTAAAAAAGGACACAAGTGAGAATGTTAAGACAGCTGGAGAGAGTGAAGTGGAGAAGAAATCAGTTAGCCGCAGGTGAGTCAAGCACTTGAAATATCAGAGTTTCTGTCTTTTATACTTCATTTAAAACTACGATTGAGTCCTCTATTCAACTTACTTTCTAAAATATTATTTTCATAATGTTTGATATATATACCAGTAGCCCACTCAGAGGCCTAAAAGAAAATAGACCAATTTTATTTACATCAATGGTCATAAGAGTAAAAATTCTGCTTTATTTCTCTTTGATCTCTTCTTTAAAAACCTCTAAGTTTTTTTTTTTATATTTGAGGTAAGCAAAATATTAGCTATATGTGGAAGACTGTATTTGTTTAAAACAAACAAGAGAAGTCAAGTCATTATACAGAACAAAAAGATGTCCTCAGATTTAGAAGAGTAAAATTTGTCAAAAATGGCTAAGAAGGGTGTAGGCCTGAAAATACTCTTAAATATTTTTTCAAGTCTGATTTATACTGTCTACCCCGCCTAATCTTGGTGGTATCATAAAATAAATCTCAGCATATGTCTCATTTTAAAGACTTGTTGAATTTTGTGATTCAACATTCTATTCTCCTGAAATTCAGCTTAATTGAAAAGCTCTCCTTTATAATTCTGTTATTACAACTTTGTTACACATATAAAATAATATAGCTTTAAAAAATGATAGCATTTGTTTTCTTTGAATGACCTACAATTAGAGGTAAGATAGTTATAACTCCGTATAAGCAACATTGTTTTATTCTATTATGCTTCTCAACCTCATACAGAAAAACTAAAAAAGCATTTTCATATTACCATCACTTAGATCTCTAAATTTTTTCTTTATGTAACCAGAAAAGTACTTCTCCAGAAATTTCCACTGATAGTATAACCTTTTGCATTCAGAAATGGCACTAGAAGTTGTCTTTAAATATCTTTTTCTGGCAACATTCACCTGATGCTCAAATAATCATTGTTGAATAATTTAATTAACTTTGGGCCACTATTGGATGAAGATTTTAGTGGTCATATAAGCGTGGAGTTGACGGGCTTCTTATCAGTTCGAACTCTTAGATCATGAATATAATCGAGAATACTTCATTTCTCTCTCTTACTCAGGAGATGCATTTCCTGATTTTTTAGTTCATTTCAGTCCAGTCACTCAGTCATGTCCAACTCTGCAACCCCATAGCCTGCAGCACGGTAGGCTTCTCTATCCATCACCAACTCCTGGAGCTTGCTCAAACTCATGTCCATCGAGTCAGTGATGCCATCCAACCATCTCATCCTCTCATCCCCTTCTCCTCCCACCTTCAATCTTTCCCAGCATCAGGGTCTTTTCCAGTGAGTCAGTTCTTTTCATCAGTGGCCTAAGTACCAGAGCTCCAACTTCAGCATCAGTCCTTCCAATGAATATTCAGGACCTGTTTGCTTTAGGACCGACTGGTTTGATCTTGCAGTCCAAGGACTCTCAAGAGTCTTCTGCAACACCACAGTTCAAAAGCATCAGTTCTTTGATGCTCAGCTTTCTTTCTGGTCCAACTCTCACATCCAACATGACTACTGGAAAAACCATACCTTTGATTCGACAGACCTTTGTTGGCAAAGTAATGTCTCTGCTTTTTAATATGCTCTCTAGAATGGTCATAGCTTTTCTTCCAAGGAGCAAGTGTCTTTTAATTTCATGGCTTCAATCACCATCTGCAGTGGTTTTGGAGCTCAAGAAAATAAAGTCTTTCACCATTTCCATTGCTTCCCCATCTATTTGCCTAGAAGTGATGGGACCGTATGCCATGATCTTTGTTTTTTGAATGTTGAGATTTAAGCCAGCTTTTTCACTCTCTTTCACTTTCATCAAGAGATTCTTTAGTTCCTCTTCGCTTTCTGCCATAAGGGTGGTGTCATCTGCATATCTGAGAATATTGATATTTCTCCCAGCAGTCTTGATTCCAGCTTGTGCTTCATCCAGCCCAGCATTTCTCATGATGTACTCTGTATATAAGTTAAATAAGCAGGGTGACAGTATACCGCCTTGACATACTTGTTTCCCAATTTGGAACAAGTCCGTTGTTCCATGTGCGCTTCTAATCATTGCTTCCTGATCTGCATACAGATTTTTCAGGAGTCAGGTAAGGTGGTCTGGTACCCATATCTCTTTAAGAATTTTCCACAGTTTATTGTGATCCACACAGTCAAAAGCTTTAGCATAGTCAATGATGCAAAAGTAGATGTTTTTCTGGAACTCTCTTGCTTTTTCTGTGATCTAGCAGGTGTTTGCAATTTGATCTCTGGTTACTCTGCCTTTTCTAAATCAAACTTGAACATATGCAAGTTCTCAGTTCACATACTGTTGAAGCCTAGCTTGGAGAACTTTGAGCTTTACTTTGCTAGCGTGTGAGATGAGTGCAATTGTGCAGAAGTTTGAGCATTCTTTGGCATTGCCTTTCTTTGGGATTGGAATGAAAACTGACCTTTTTCAGTCCTGTGGCAATTTTCCAAATTTGCTGGCATACTGAATGCAGCACTTTCACAGCATCGTCTTTTAGGATTTGAAATAGATCAACTGGAATTCCATCACCTTCACTAGCTTTGTTCGGAGTGATGCTTCCTAAGGTCCACTTGACTTCACACTCCAGCATGTCTGGCTCTAGGTGGGTGATCACACCATTGTGATGATCTGGGTCATGAAGATCTTTTTTGTATAGTCCTTCTATGTATTCTTGCCACCTTTTCTTAATATCTTCTGCTTCTGTTAGGTCTATCCCATTTCTGTCCTTTATTGAACCCATCTTTGCATGAAATGTTCCCTTGGTATCTCTGATTTTCTTGAAGAAATCTCTAGTCTTTCCCGTTCTATTGTTTTCCTCTATTTCTTTGCATTGATCACTTAGGAAGGCTGTCTTATCTCTCCCTGCTGTTCAGTGGAACTCTGCATTCAGATGGGTGTATCTTTCCTTTTCTCTTTTGCCTTTCCCTTTTCTTCTCAGCTATTTGTAGGGCCTTCTCAGACAACCATTTTGCCTTCTTGCATTTCTTTTTCTTAGGGAGGTTTTGATCACGGCCTCCTGTACAGCGTTAGGAACCTCCATCCATAGTTCTTTAGGCACTCTGTTTATGAATCTCTTTCTCACTTCTGCTGTAAGGGATTTGATTTAGGTCATACCTGAATGGTCTAGTGGTTTTCCCTACTTTCTTCAATTTAAGTCTGAATTTTGCAATTTAAACCTGATTTCTAAAACATTAGCTTTCTAATGTGACAAAAAATACATTTTGAGTTTTTAATAGGTGAACCAAATATTGGTCATGTGTAAGTGCTTGTTAAGTCCTCAACTCTGTCTTGTTGGCCTTAATACAATTTTAAATACTTACATACCCTATAATTAATATAACTTTAAGTTTAACAAAGCTGAATTTTCTACAAGAATAAATAAAACTTATTGTAAAACTTGCCATAGTAAATACAAAACATGTATTTATAACTGTTCTTCTCTTTCCCCAAGTTTTCAGTATTCATATCCTCCTTTCTCCCTCTTTTATCCTCCTTCTTGTACCCTACAAAGAGAAATGAACGAAAAATAAGGAGGTCAGGACAAAGTACAGAATTTCAAAGAGAAAATACAGTTTTTCTCTTTTGTCTAGAAATGTCCATGATTGTCTCATGACCACTTATTTTGAGTGGAAAAAAATTTCAAAATCATTAGAGGTTTTGGTCAGCTATACCAGCTTCACTGTAGTTTGTCTCAAGTTAATTTTATGTTAAAAGAAAAAGAAACTTCTAAGAGTCTTTAAAAATTGTGGTTAAAAAATGGATAATTGTATTTATTAATAAAAGAAAATCACTGCTCAGTCTAAGGTAAATTGTAGGGGCTGTAGATAGTTGCCAACCCTGTAGGATGTCAATGTGAAACCATTATCTATTCAAAAATCAATTCTTTTGGTATATACAAACTTTTCACGTGGATGTGTTTGAAGTACTCTGTTATCCTTCAGTCGTTTTCTGATTTGAGCAGTATGATCAAGGACTAGACTAGCCTGGATCAACTTTTTATGCTAGAGCCGTTCAAAGTGTGATTTTACTGAAAATTTGTGGTAAAGAAACATCTGGAGTCTGTTAAAGCTGTATATCACTTTGGATGGTAAACCTACAAGCGTGTTTCTTGAGTACTTAATATTTAAGTTGGGGAGTGATATTTCACAATATAACTTTTAGCAGATTTACAGAGTGGAATATTTTCCTAATTGTTCCGTTGAAAAATACTTAGGGGTTCAAGAGGGGAAAAGAATCCAAAGCTCTCCTAACCTCCTCTCCTTTCTTCTCTTTCGTGTACTTATTCTGACTTGAGGATCTGTCTCTCGCTTCCTTCCTTCTCTCAGTGTATAGTGTCACTCTTTCTTATCCAGCCCACCTCTAAGGCTTTCTCTAAGCCTCTGCTTTGGCTCCTGAATGCTGCTGAGCAGAACCACACAGCCAGGGGCAAGTCCAGCCTCAGCCGTGCCTCCAGTGCGTCTTCATCACCCCGCCCCTGGTGCTCCCCTTTAACCTCGGGTTCACGCGCTCTCATCAGATCCCCTGGCTTTCTGCTCTGTGAAACAGGAGTACCTTCTTCAACTTTTCCCTGTTTGTTCAGATCAATTCTAATCTCCTCCTCTTCTACTGTAAAGGTGGGAATCCCTCTACCCATTGAAAATGATTCCATCCTCCTCCCTTTGTTTTTAGTTTTCTCTCTCACTCTTGCCTTTCCTTCACCTTGTGGATAGACTTAAGGAGTGGAAAAAAGAAAACCACTTAATTTTATTTCCTGTCCCCACCATCTTAGTTCCCATATATTTCTAAATACACATCACTCAGCTTTTCCCTCGTCACTCTCCTGAAACTACTCTTCCTGAGGTCATGTATTGGACACATCTAGTGACTACTTTCCAGTTGTTGTTTTTCCTAGTGTCTCTGTTGTGGAATTTGGCAGTTTTTGCTTTTTCACTCTTAAAAACCATCCTCCTCACAAAACTTGCTACTTAAATTGTGTTTCACTTGGGATCTTAATAGAGATGCTAAGTTTCAAGCCCCACCTCACACTTTTTGAATCAGAATCTGCATTTTAGTAGAGTCCACAGGTGATTTGTATGTTCAAGTTTGAGAAGCACTTCTCTGGAATAGTAATTTTTACCACCAGTGCCACTGG